GTCGGCACGTCGGTCAGCGCCGCGTTTCTGATTGTGCTGTGCATAGGCAACGGATGGGTGCTCTACAAGCTCGCCAGGCGGTTGCAGCAGGTTCTGGCGGAGAGGCGCCGCGCGGACGAAATGGGAGAGGATGGCGCGCCCGTGACCGAGTATGATGCCGAGGCGACGGCCAGCGGGCAGTTTAATCTTGAGGGTGCCGGCTTCATGGGCAGGGTACTGGGTTTTCTCTTCAAGGCCATCGATAGGCCGTGGAAAATGTACCCTCTAGGTGTAGTCTTTGGTCTCGGTTTTGACACGAGCTCTGAGATTGCCATTCTCGGAATCGCCAGCATTCAAGCTGTGCAGGGAACCAGCATCTGGTTGATTCTCATTTTTCCCATCTTGTTCACCTGTGAGTCTGGATTCGTGGATTCTACATGGCACAGCACTAATCATTACACAGCCGGCATGTGTCTAGTGGATACTACAGACGGTGCACTCATGATGGCTCTGTACACGTCCAAGGCATTCTCACGAGATGTCGTGGCCATCTTGTACTACTCCATCGTACTCACAGGCATCACCGTCGTCGTATCTGCTTTCATCGGCATTATCCAGGTGCTGTCGCTTGTCCAGAATGTTGCCGAGCCTGAAGGGCGTTTTTGGGATGGCGTCTCCGCCATAGGCGACAACTTTGAAATAGTCGGGGGCAGTATTGTCGGCGTATTCGTCGTCGTAGGACTGGGATCCATTCTCATCTATCGACCTTGGAGACGGCGCATGGAGCGCATAGGTCAAGGACTAGCCGCTTCTGCTGATGCTGGAGCGAGGTATGTTGATGGTCCCGAGACACCACTTTCGCAACAAGAAGCAACGCCTCGTCATCTAATGGACTGATAATTTTCATCGCTATTTGAATCACTATCGCTTAGTTTAGGCTAATAAATCAGACTCGGTAAATTCCACGTATTCCATTGTGCGTTGCCGTCGTCTGTTCAATCAGCTTCGTAAAAGGCAAATAGTACGCAATTGGTGCTTTGATGGCATCTTGAGCATATTCGCGTAGCCACTGTGACGTTTGGCACCCGTTTGAATGGCGGCCAGATCCCAAGCGTCTGATGCATTCTCTCCACGACTCGCCTGTCTCGATCGCGAGGATTCATCGTATTCAAGAATGCTGTGCAAACAGAACAGAGCCATCTCCCTTTGCCGTCGACGTTCTCTTTGACAAGTGACTTTGTCCAGTCAAGGATAGACCCAAAAATGGTCCTCTTCGGGGGGCTTGCATAAGGTGCTGGAGTGTCTGCTCTTTCGACATTGTCGTCCTCTCGCTCCGCCGCTCTGGCGTTGTGAACTGGTGCGACAGGTCTCGGTTCTCCCAGTTCAGGTACCCTGTCCTGGCGGGTAGGAGCAAACTGATCTGGAGCGCCCTCTTTCAGCTTGACCAAGCTCATCGCAGCATCGTAATAGCTGGGCGGCAATTGTGGGAGTATAGGCCCGCCTTGCTTGGCTAGTCGAGCTGGATAGGACAACTGCGGGGGAGTATATCGTAGTTGACGGGCGTAGTCAGCTTCGGCGTCTTGCTGTTTTTGAATAAGACAAGTTTTCTATCAATACATCCCGATCGAAGCACTTACTTGTGCATGTCGCGCATCGTCGGGTGCCTTGCCCAGTCCCACACCTTGGGGCTCCTCTGAATTTTCCGCATGCTCCTAATGAACGGATGATGGACTTTCCATTCCTCTGTGCGGATTCTCGGAAGATTTGCGGCGAAGTGATCCTGCTGCTTTCCAAGATTCGGCAATTTTCTCCCAAAGTCCGGCAGCACTTGTTGGAGGCCAGCTAGCGCCTTTTGAATGTCCGGCCGTTTGCTCCGGAGATCCCGAATCGACCGGATCATCAGAGTAATAAGAAGGAGGTGGCATACTGGCAATGAGATGATGGTGAAGCCGGCTCCCATCTAGTCGAAGGCCGCTTTGGGTACCTCCCTGACTACTGGTACCGCTGCAAGTAGATTGGTCTCTCTTACTCCACATGTCAAGATACTCATCCTAATTGGAATTCTTGACAAAAATGTACTCTAGCAATCCGCCTGCGGATCTGCTACGTTTTGCAGATTGCCAACTTGGCTTCGGGGGGCGGGGCCTTCGGGGAGCCATTGATTCAATTACTCTCTCTGGCGAGCAAGATTGGCGGCCTGATTCTGGGGCAGTCTTGAAGCTCTCTCGGTCGTCGGTGTATAAGTCTTCTTCTTCGTCTTCTGCCACAGGTGAAAGACGATCGGCTGCCAGAGCTGACTGAATGTCAAACGTGTATGACGGCGTTGGTAGATTCTCTGGTGATGGCAGATCTTCTGGTGATGGCAGATCTTCTGGCAGCGGCAGATCTCCTGGCGATGGCAGTTTCTGTGGAGTTTGAGGCTGATTCGGCGTTGAAACAAGATGTTCGACAATTACTCGAGGCTCATCTTGGGCTTGGCTGGAAGGTGACTGCGTGGAGTCAGGAACATCGGCTGGTGTATCAGCTGGTTCATCAAGCGGAGTCTCCTCGGGCTTTGATGAGGGCTCCATGGTGGATTCTAGGGCGGTTACGAAAAAATATCATAAAAGAGTGTAGAGGCGATAACTTGAAAAGAATGAGGATTGTGAATGACATTGTAATGAAAAGCTCTCATTTGCCAAGGGCTGGCGCTTTGGCGAACCATGTCAATAGGAAGGCGCCCCAGAGAAGAGGCAGCCGCAGTGAGTCAGCCACGCATTGAATCAATTGTTGCCACTATTTTGCTTCATAATGGTTAGTCTAGCATTTTGACTGCCGTTTCGAGCCTTGGCCGATGATGATGGGATTTCGCTTGTGCCCATGCTAAATAGCACCTACGTCCCTGGCCGATGACGCTACACTCCATGCTTATCGCGCTACAAGTGGTCCTTATCGACCCTGCGAAACCTCCTTCTAACAACTGCCATCACCACATCACAGCGACTGCTATCATGTAGCCTTGTGCGCTGCGCATCGCCCGTTTTTTTTATCCGATTATTATATTCAAGCACAGACGCAAACATGGCTTCCCCGACAGCATCTGCCCGCCGCAGCACGGGCTCCTCAGCCGGGTCACTCCAACGATCGGACGAACGAGCTTCTATAACAGCCAACATTCCTCTCGAGACGCTCGTCACTCACTTACTAGCTGCAAAACGATCGCTTTCATCGATGAATCATGTTCTCCGCGCCAATGAAATAGCTACATCCTCCCGGAATGCGCACGAGGAAGCAGCTCTGCTCTCTGCCCAGGCTAGCTTTCTTCGCGGAGCTACACTTGACCAGGCTGCCATCCTTGTCAAGGTACGCCGCAGCCTCCAGTCAACGTATGACTGGAGCAAGAGGGATTTTAGGGTGCTCGTCAAGTCCATGGATGGTGTCGATGGCAAGCTTGGCCGAACGATAGAATCTCTGCAATCTACGCAGATCAGCGACCTCCTTCGCCCACAAGACGAGCAACGAAAGAATTTACTAGATTTTGTCGACGAGGAAGGCGTCAACAGGATGAGGGACGCGATGAAGAAGAGTATAGAAGAGCTTCAGGTATATAGCGCGACCTCGGTTGCTGACCTCTGGCTAACTAGTTGCAGGGCATCCAGCAATCATTCGACGGCGACCTCCTTCGTTTCGACAACGACATTCGTGACCTCAAGAAAGTCATCATCGAATCGCAAACACAAGACTCGGATGACGAGGAACATGCATCGCAACCATTCACAATGGACATATTGATGGAGATACTCGAGAACTCGACCACGATGGCGCAGCTGCTGGCATCCTTGACGAACCACTTTGACATGTGTGTTACGGCAATTCGGACAACAGAAGGCGGCGCAGCTCTAGCTCGCCGCCGAGCTGCCGAGGTGAACCAGGCTCAAGGCAGCGATGGTGTATCGATATCGGGTGTCATTGCAGAGCAGGAATCCAACTCGTCCGACTTGGAGTCAGTCACGGATAGCGACAGAGCAGAAATGCTCCAGGTTGTAGTACAAGATGCAAGCGAGGTCAGCGATGTCGTTGAAGAAATTCAAGAGCGTCTCGCGGTCATGGAACAAGACTACAAGATCCTGCAGCAACGTAATGCCGCAGCAGAGAAATCGTACATTTCTATTCTTGACGCATTCACCGTGCTCGGAAGCATTGGCGACCGTCTAAATGATTACCTTGCCGCAGAACAAGACTTTAAAACGCGATGGAACCTGGAAAAGGAGACTGTGTTTGACAGAATGGCGGAGATGGAGGAGATGCGAGGCTTCTACGACGGTTACGGAAGTGCATATGAGACGCTTATTTCGGAAGTGAAGCGCCGAAAAGCTGTCGAGGATGGTGTGCAAAACATATGGCGCATGGCGCAAGCCAACGTGGACAAGCTATTGGTCGCCGACAAAGCATCTCGAGAATCATTTCGGCAAGACGTGGGTGAATACCTTCCGACTGATTTGTGGCCAGGTATGCATTCCCGGCCACAGCGATGGAAAGTGACTCGTATTGAGGAGAAGGATGAAGATGGTGAGGGCGGTCAAGCTTACGAAGAAAGCATCAGCTGAGCAAGCGCCAGTTAACCGCACAATGGATGATCTAGGACCAAGACTGTGATCAAGACTGGACAATCGAGCAGCAGCATACACGATGTTTGGCAATGTTTGCTTATTTCTTTGATCAGATGCGTATTGGATAGGCAGGCGTCACGGCAGGTTGTGTTTACATTGTAGTTTTATTGGCGTCTCGGGGGACGGACCTTTTCCAGATAGACACAGATTGGCATACAAGGATGGCTGCAATAAGGAGTATGCAATAAATACGGATTAGTTGGCGAACAAATACACCAGTTGAAAATTATTCACCCATTCCCCAATTTCCCTTTCCCCCCACCCCCCTGTCAATTCATCCGAAGCCCCGCAAGGGGTAAAAAAACGAGCGCCACAACCGCACTCACGACAACAATACCAAACAAAAAGAATCAAACACAAAAAGATATAACTTGACAAGACTGGGATTTGAACCCAGGCGGATTTCTCCACTACAATTTAGGTAATTTCCCTGAATGTAGCGCCATGGACCTTGCTCGGCCATCTTGCCGTCTCTCGGCCATCTTGCCGTCTCTTTTGATAGTGGATGGCGAGGATAATGTGGTATAAGAGGGAAGGCTGAAGGTAGACAGAAGGGTGCGGTCATCTCGCCATTTCTTTAATAGTAACTCTAGATTTTAAGTAATATAATACTAGGTTATAAGAATTAAATAACTAATAGAGTATTAAGTAATATACTAAACTATTTTACTATCTCTTTGAATAGTAGATTATAAATATAATATAATATAAGAAGACTCTAAATATAAATAAAAGGGTATAGTTATTTTACTATTTCTTTAATAATAGTTTTAGATTTTTAAGTAATATTATACTAGGTTATAAGAATTAAATAAATGATAGAATATTAAGTAATATACTTATCTCTCTTATTATAATATATAATAGTAAAGTGAGGAGATAATGTGGTAACTATGAGGGAAAGGCTAGACACAGAAGAAGGGTACAGCCTTCTCGCCGTTCCTGTTCAAGTAGCTCCGGATGCTTAAACTGCATGATGAGAAAAGGCTACTTTGGCCTGATGTAATGGAAATAGATTACTTAGCAATGTGCTCTATTATCTTGCCGTTGCTGTTGGAGTAGCTTTGGATGTATCGGGACGAGAAACGTCGAGTACGAGGGCCTGCTGGCGGATATAGAAGAACATTGCTCGGCCATCTCGTCGACTCTGTTAGAGTAGCTTTAGATGATAAAGCGGCGCAAAAAATGCTGTATAATAACGCTGTCGGCTACAGATAAAGAGAATTTACAGTAGCAAAAATGTAGTCGGCCATCCTACCATTCCTGTTGGAGTCGCTTCGGATGTTGGACTGGCGCAACAAAAGTTGTATACGAAGGCTGTCTCTGTGGATACAGAGAAAGAGTACGGATTAGGCATCTTCGACAGGCGAACCAGAGCCAGTTTTTTTCGTTTAGAACACTCCCTTGACCGATTGCAGTAAAAGAGAGATATCAGCAAAAAGGTCGTCGGCCAGCTTACCGTTTCCGTTGAAGCAGCTTCGGATGTTTAAGCGGCAGGCAAAAGGAAGGCTATTTTGGCCGAATGCAAATCAACAAGATTTTAGCAAAAATGTAATGACAAGACTGGGATTTGAACCCAGGAGGATTGCTCCACCAGGAATTGAGGTGTTAAGGTGACCTTAACCTGGCGCCATAACCATACTCGGCCATCTTGCCCGTGGTCGGTTTGACGGTGAGGCGGCGACACAAAGACGAATAAGAGGGCATCCAAATGAAATGGAAGAAAGAGAAGAAAATTGGCAAAAATATATGACAAGACTGGGATTTGAACCCAGGAGGATTGCTCCACCAGGAAATTGAGGTGTTAAGGTGACCTTAACCTGGCGCCATAACCATACTCGGCCATCTTGCCGTGGGTCTATTAGACGATGGAGACGAGGCGGAGATGTTTGATTCTAAAAAGGTTCCGAGGATGTATAGGATCTATACGAGACTTGAGAGGGGCTAAGATGACTTGTGGTGATTCCTGAAATTTTCACGAGCTTTCTGGGTGGAATTACGCTCGGCTTTGGGCCATTGGAGGACGTGTGGTTGGGCTGCGTGAAGCTTTCGGCCTGGTGTCTTCAACCGTTTTGTGCGCCGAAGCCTATTTATCGTACCCTATATGGAACGTAATTTCGTTAGCCAGACAAAGAAGTCAAGGCCTAGATCAGATGGATATTGATTCTGGCGGAGAATTTTGTAATGGTTTCTTTGTAGATTCTTTGCTCAAGTTGCATTAATTATTATGCTTACGATTTCTTTTGTTCCTATTCTGTAGAGATTGAGCCTTTGACATTCAAACACTGCTACACAGACAGCAAGCCGTCCGCTACGTGAATAGCGCCAAAAAAAACCTACAATCATCTGCAGTGATAGCAACCCCGCCAATCGATAATCATTTATAAAATCGTCACTACTCCAGCCGTTAACTGACGGAGATAGCCGCTGTCAAATGTAGAGGGTCACGGGACTATATAAGGGGATGAGGTACCTATAATAGGGGGAAATTAGTATAAGAGAAGAGGTACCCCACCTTATAAGGGTGTCCCTTAGAGCCCTTACGTTATAGCTTCTTTTACTTCTTAATTAATACTATTCCTATACCTAATTACTATTCTATATAATAATTATAAGCCTAGTTAGTAATTAATTAATTTAACTTTAATTATTTAAAATAATTTAGCTTTTATTATACTCTTAGAATTATAATTAAGTATATATTAGTTTAATAAACCTAAAATATAATCCTTAAGGCCTTAAAGATTAAAAAGATCTTTATAACTTAAAAAATAATTATAATTATAATTTAGTTTAAAATTAAATTTATTATAAAGCTTAATAGCTTAAAAGACTAAGAAGTTTAGAATTAAGACTTTAAAAACTAAGCTTTTTAGGCTAAAATCTAAGACTTTATTAACCTTAATAATATAGTTATATTAGTTAAGCTAGAAATTAATTATACTTTTACTAAAGGCCCTCCTCTAGTAATAATAGTAATAAAGGCTATAGTCTTAGAAGAAGAAGAGACCTTAGTTAATTTAAATATTATTAATAAAAGACTTTAATATTAGAAGATACTAATATTAGAGGAATTAGGACTTAGCTTTTTTATAATAATTAAGAAATAATTAATAAGATAAGACCCTTTTAGACTACTATACTAGTCTTAAGCTTAAGATTAAGCTATAACTCTTTATTATATTAAGATATAGTTTATTTTAAATAAATATAATTAACTAATAATAAAGTATTTAAATTAAAGTATTATTATAGCCTTATTTAAAGTTACTTTTTCTAACTCCTTTTATAAAGACTATATTTATATAGTTTAAGATAATAATAATATAAAAAAATAATATCTAGAACTTACTAAGAGTATTAAGCTATTAGACTATATAGCCTAATAAGCCTTAATAGATTATATAGAAGACCTCTTAGACTTTTAGAAGTTTAAAAATATAATAGTTAATAAGTAAGCTTAAGACCTTAAGCTTATTTTATAAAAATACTAAAGGAAAGGTATTTAGAGATATAATATTAAGTAGATAATAATAAAGGAGGTCTTTAAAGTAATCTAGACTAAATTTTATATTAATAGCTAGATCTTTAATTTAAATATCTAAAAAGGCTATATTACTATAGTTAATAAACTTCTAAACTAGCTTATTAGGTTAGTCTTAAATAACTTAATAATAAAGGTAATAGTAATAACTAACTTTTATCTTAACTATTAGGTACCTTAGATACCTATACTTACTATTATTAAAAGCTTAACTAACCTTATAAGACCCTTTTAAATAAAGGTAAATTATAGTTTTTATAAAAAAAGGTATTAGATTATAAATATAGCTAATTACTAGAAGTTATACTTTATAGTCTTACCTTATACTTACTTATTAACCCTATTAAGCTTACTTTTAAGTAAAGTAGCTAAAAAGAAGACTATAAAGACTATAATTATAGTATTAAAAGCTATATAAGATATTATAACTATAGCTTAATAAGAAAGAGGTACTTTATTTATAATAATAATAAGGTATATATTAACCTTAAACTTACCTATACTTCTTATAGAAGAGAACTTAATATTACTAGACTTAAGTACTTAGAACTATATTTTTAATAATAAATTATAGTTCTAGACCTTAAATTTAGGTAAATAAAAAGTCTTTAGCTTATTTAATTAGTTAATTAAAGCTAATAGTTTAAAAGAAGTTTTTTTAAAATTAGATAATAGAAACTAGCTTTTACTTATAAATATAATATTTTACTTAAACTTAGTATAAAATATTATCTTAAAAGATATCTTATAAAAAAAGGGTATTTTTTAGAATATTAAATATAACCTTATATATTAATAATAAAATAAATAAGCTATTAAGGTCTTTTAGGTTATCTAGACTAATTAATAGTCTTTAATCCTTATAAAAAGAGGCTCTAAAGCTACTTTTATATCCTTAAGGGTACCTAAACTATTAATAATAACTAATATTAACTTATAGTATAATAGATTAAGTTACCTAGGTATTAAGGTATTTAACTAGATACTTAAAAATATAATTAGTACTAAGGTTAAAGGCTAACCTTTATAAGGAGCTTATAAAGTCTATAGTACCTTAAAAGCTAAGAAAATTATTTTAAGAGTTTCTTATAAAAAGAGCTTTTTAAAAATACCTTTTATAACTATTTTTATAAATTTATTCTAATTTAATAAGGCTTAAAATTCTAATTATTATATATAATTAATAATATACTATTTTATAAGCTTTAGGATTATTATAATACTTTATAAAAAGACTAATTTTTATAATATTTTACTTTTTTTAATTAATATTATAAAAAGGTATTATAGTATTAATCTATATACTATTTTAATAAATAATAAGAAAATATTCCTCTAGGCCTAAAAAGAATCCCTCTAAACTACTAATATTAAATTTAAGCTTAATTCCCTTAACTATATCTATTATAAAGGCTATTAAGAATAGTCTAGTAATATTATAAAAGAATTAATAACCCTTTTATACTTATAAGCTAGCCTCTCTTTTAACTTCTAGAATTTAGTTTACTAAATAGTTATATATCTCTTAAACTAATACTCTTACTAATAAGCTAGCTAAAAGATACTATTTAAGATAATATAGACTTAGTTATAAGAGAATTAAAGTAAGTAAAAGTATCTTATTTAAGATTAATAGCTTAACTTAATAAACCTAAGGGTATTTAGTTATAAGGCTTTTATTTTAACTTATAAAAGAATAATAAGTTAAGTTAATAAACTAAAATAAAGAGCTTATATTAACTATCTTATTAAAATTATATCTTCTATATAATATATTATTTAGGTACCTTTTATAAGAGGTATTAAGATTATTAATTTAAGTTATATTATATTTAATAAGACCTCTTTTTATTCTAATAAAGAAGCTTTTTAGTAAATAGTAAAATCTACTAAGGCTTTTAAGACCTTAATTCTAAATAAAATAG